AATAATCATAAATTACTAATGAAGTGATTTTAAATTACTTGATTGGTCCAATGTATTTTCAACAGATGGTATTATTATGTTTCCATCATAATTTCAAACTACACTCAGATTCAAAAGATATAACCATGGTTTCATAATTTCACATAACTTACTTGTAAATAAGTTTGTTCTGCGAGACTTATATGTAACTTTCTCTAAAAGAATATAGGAAAATTTTAGTCTAGATTTATTGACCAAGCATAATGAAAAACAAAGCTACCTAAAATCTTAAACTTCATTGCAAACTAAGGGGAGTGAAATGAAATTAAATTGTTGAGGGAAATGACAAAAGTAACACTCAATTATTATGTTTTTAAAGGCTTCTTTGATTAGAAATGGCCAAATTTCACAATCAAGAGACATCATTGTCAGAATCTTCAAGTCGGCGAGGAGCGATTAGAGGTTTTATGAAGGAGACAAAGAGAAGACGGTGAGATAAAGAGTTTAAAAAAGAATGGTTTGATAAAAGGCTTAGAGAGTGAGAGACATGGAGCTATAACTTGAATAACCAAGAATGTTAGTTGCGTCAACGATTGTTCCATGGGAGTAGAGGTGAAGTCAGGATTTAAGAATAAGGGAGCTAAGATTAAAAAAATATATATATACTGTAAAGTTTTCATAAATTTTAAGGGGCAAAAGTGTGTAACATCTATATGATAAAAAAAAAGGGGTTGGAGAGATAAGAGGAAAGGAAGTTTTTTTTTTTGCAGTTTAAAAGAAATTTAATGGACAACTTTGGTATGGATAATTTGCAATTTCATTTTCCATAATAATAACACTACGAATAAAATCAAGCAAAACTATGCATATAAATAAATTTTTTAGAAAAAGTAACCACTTTAGCATGGGCAATATGCAATTTTAGTATGGAAATTTTGAATCTCTTTTTACTATAATAACAGCACTAAGAATAAAATTTGTACAAATAACTCTTACAAGAAAATTAACCATTTTAGTATAAGAAACGAACAATTTTAGTATAGGAAAATTACAACACCTTTCATCATGACAATAGCACAAGAAATAAAATAAAGTGAAACTATGCTTACAAACAACTCTTGTAAGATAACTAAGAATTTCAGTACAGCAAAATTAACTACTCTTGTAGAAAAATTTGCAAGTGTCTTCTAATAGGCTTAAGCCAATCCCATAAGATGAAGTCTTGTTGGTTAAATGAACAACTACAACATGCAAAATTAATCACCAGGGTGGGGAAAACAAACGACTGTAGTTTGGAAAACGAACAACTCACGTATGACTTTGCAAATCAACAACTTATATCAAGAAGGGTTTCAAGTTCCTCGTACTAAGGTTGTTCATTTCCTATACTAAAGTGGTAAATTTTTTTAGAGGAATTGTTCGCATGTATAGTTTCACTTGATTTTATTCTTAGTGTTGTTTTCACAGTAAAAAAATTGCAAATTCCCTGTGTTGAAGGATCTTTTCCAATATTGAAGTGGCTAACTTTTTTTATAAGAATTGTTTGTACACATAGATTTACTTTATATTATTTTTAGCATTAGTATCATGGTGAAAACAGTGGAAAATTCTCTATGCTATAGTTGTTTATTTCCCCAACACTGAAGTGGTCAATTTTCTAGCAAGAGTTATTTGTGCGCGCAGCTTCGCTCAATTTTGTTCTTAATATCATTGTCATGGTAAAAAGAGTTGCAAATTTCCCATACTAAAGTGGTTATTTTTTCTATAAGAGTTGTTTGTGTGCACAGATTCACTTAATTTTATTCTTAATGCTGTTACTATAACAAAAAGAGTTGAAAATTTTTCATAATAAAATGGCTAGCTTTCCTACAAGAGTTGTTTACCCTAATATGTTCCCTTAATTTTATTCTTAGTGTCATTATCATGGTAAAAAGAGTTGCAAACTATCTATACTGAAATTGTTCACTGCACATATCGAAGTGATTATTTTTCCTACAAGAATTATTTGCATACATAACTTTTTTTGATTTTATTCTCATATTGTCATTATGGAAAATGAAGTTGCAAATTCTTCATACTAAAATTATTTATTTCCCTACAACAGTTGTTCACCAACCACCCTTTTTTATTTTATTTTTTTAAAAAAACCTTCTCCATTTTCCCTTCTCTGTCCCTTGAAACCATTGCTGATGCAGCTAACATTCTCTCTGATTTAGGCTATCACTCCATGTCTCTCACTTTTTAAGCCCTTTATTAAACTTGTCTTTCCCGAACCCTTCTCTCACCATCTTCTCTCCATTTCCATCACCATCTTCTTGGCATGGAGTTGGACGCACAAAATTTGGTCACTTCTAATTGAAGAAGCCTTTAAAAATAATTAAAAAAAGATTAATTTTGTCATTTTTCTCAATATTTTAATTTCATTCTACTTTCTTTGATTTGCAATGAAGTTTTAAATTTTAAGGGCTTTTTTTCATTATGTTTAATCAAGAGATCTAAGCTGAAATTTTCTCAAAAAATATACACTAAACTGAAGGTAAGAATATAAGGGCATATAGTTTCACTTATTTTAGACTAAACAAAGCCTATTTACAAAATAAAACTGCTTTAAAGTTTAAGTTTTTGATTAGATTTAAGTCCACATGTTGATGAGACTTAATGGATTAGCGAATTGCTTCCACCCAAGTGGCCAAGTTCGCAGGCTTAGGTCAGACCCATTATTATCAAATATCATCATCAATGATATAATTATCCGTTCCTTGTTCCATTTATAAATATCGAAGTGGAGATCCAAGAATTTCAAACTATAATAGCCACGTTGATTTCAGCTTTAGAGATTAAAGATTATTTATATTACCACAAGTTCAAAAGTCCACGGCGAATAAAAAATTGTCCTTCTAGAAGGGAAACATGACCCACCGGTTTTTCCCATATTTAAATGATGCCATATGCGTTTAACCCTGTCATTGTTCATCGTCATCATTTAATTTAAAGTTTATCTGCAAATTTTGTATTTATTGGATTTTTAAACATCAATTCATCTATATTTATTCACACATTTTATTAGAAATTTTAAAAGAATCAGAGGTTTTATTTTTCATGAAAGTTTAATGGTTCATGAGGAATAAAAAAATTATTCTTCTATAAATAAAATATGTCCCTCCTTTTTTATGCTTAAATTAAAATTTAAAAAAAAAATTATGCCGAATGCTTTAAAGTTTAAACTCTATAAATATTCATTGACATGATCCTGCAGTTCAATGTTTAGTCTCAAACTCTGCGTTGATTTGGACTGTTAAACAAATCAGATCATTTATACTCATTCAATTTGTTTTTTTTTTAGCAACATTAAAAATAAATCTATATATGAAACCCGATTCTCGTTATATCTTTTAATTATAATAAATGTAATATATCTATGCATTGTATATATCATATGGTATTTTTTTTTAACCCGATGTATACTTTTCAGTACAGCGGCAGACGCAATGTTTAAATTTTATTCGTTTTAAATTATAGAATATTTTTAAAAAAATTTTTTCATCTTAAAATATAAGACACTTTAAATAGATTAAAATTTTATTAAATGCTTCGATTCTAATATTTATCTTTCTCTCTTTATAATTAATTTCTATCACTTTTTTTAATATATTAAATGATGAATATTTTTAAATTTATATTTTTATTTTAAAAAGATAAGGTTGTCAAGTATATTTAATGAGATTTATTGATATATAAAATTTTATTTAAAAATATTTTATAATTTAAAATAAAAAAATACATTCAGAAAGAAAATTGAAAAATAGAGCAAATCTACCTTCTTAAATGTATGAATATTGCTGAAAAATAGAGCAAATCTACCTTCTTAAATGTATTAATATTGCCTATAAGATATTAATTGTATGTCTCCCTGCTGCCTCCAGCTAACATTGATGACTTTTAAAAGTGTTTTCTCCACGTGGCAATAGCAGAATGGCTCCTTCTGCTTTGAGGGAATCCAAATTAAAGAATGGAAAAAGGCAACGTTGGAGTCAACTCTTCCCAACAATAACAGCCGTGAGATTACAATTAGAAGATCTGACGGTTCGGATTGCGTACAAAAAGTCACCGGCTACAGGAGGTGATGACGAGGAACAAGATGATGATAAATTATTAAGAAAGAAGAAAAGGAAAAAAGGTCAACAATTTGTCAGATCAGCTTTATTCATAGGATTATAATTAAAATCTTAATTGTAATTAAATCATAATTATTCTTATTATTCACGTGGTCTCTGATTTTATTAAAGCATCCATGACCAACCTTTTTTTAAGGTTTAGAAAATATTGGTTTACCAAGTCCACCTACATTATTTTTTTCACTCGTTGAGGGGAAATTGCGTTCAAACCACACTAATTAATTAATACCAAAAAAAGAAAATTCCACATACCTAACTAACCTTTCTTAAGAAAACAACTAAAATACAAAACTGAATTGGTTCTTCATTTTTTTAATATTTCTACGTACAAATAATTGAATTTCGTGAGCTTTTCACATGTCCCACTAGTTCCTCTAGACTTGTCAACCATTTTCACCCTTGAAGAAGTTTCAATAAAAAATTGTGTGAGCTTTTCATTTGAAGCTATATATCACTAATTATTTTTAAGGCCAAGTCAATTTTCTAACTCCATAATTACTTTTAACTTACGGAATCAAATACAACCTACCCAGGGCCTTAATTATTAATTCCATTAAAACGAATAAGTTGATTTTCATGTCTTCTCAACGGCCTTAATTATTTCAATCATTTCTTTAATTTTTGTTACACGCTTAAAATTAAAATATCGATACGCATGATTCTGAGAAATACGTAGAATAAAGCTGACAACGATTTTATAAAATATGCCGAAAATATATGGAATCTTTTAAAAATCACCTTAGAAGCAGTGAGACTAAGAAAATCCGGTTTGGGTCAAACCCATCTCTCTCTGACCCGGTCATCCGGTGACGCTAACCCTTAATATATCTCTCGGCTCGCCTCTCCGGCCTTTACTCTTTTCCCTTCCCAAGTTTCAATCAATTTCTTCGCTTCTTCGTTTCTTCCTATGACATTTTGAGTTTCGTTTCTCAGGATTTGCCTTTTCTTTCTTTCCTAGAAGCTGTAATGGCTGTGGAGCTCATGGGGTTCCCCAAAATCGACGAGCAGAAGGCAATCCAGGAGGCTGCATCGGAAGGCCTGAAGGGTATGGAACACCTGATCCGTCTTCTCTCTCACCAGCCCAATAGGATGGACTGCACTGACCTCACCGATATCACCGTTTCTAAGTTTAAAAAGCTCATTTCCCTCCTCAACCGTACCGGCCACGCCCGCTTCAGGCGAGGACCCTTACCTTCCTCCCCGTCTTCTTCTACCGCGCCACCGCCGCAGCCCTCCATCTCGATTCCTCAAATGCATACATTTAGCCTGTCTCCGCCACAGTTCACCTCTCCGGCTACCGTGTCTCCGAGTCCTGTTGTAAATCAGGCTCCTATGCAGAACGCGCCTTCGAGTTTCGTTCAGTCTCAGGCGCCGCAGAGTTTGACTCTTGATTTTACCAAGCCTAGCATCGTAAGCTCCAAGACTAAACCCCCAGAGTTGGAGTTCTCGAAGGAAACCTTCAGTGTCTCGTCTAATTCGTCGTTTATGTCGTCCGCAATTACTGGAGACGGAAGCGTCTCGAACGGAAAGCAAGGTTGCTCCCTCTTCATGACTCCGGCGGCACCGACAGTGTCCGGTGGAAAGCCACCTCTGTCCTCGGGGCAGTTCAAGAAAAGATGCCATGAGCACCGCGACCGCTCCGACGACGTGTCGGGGTCCAGCAAATGTCACTGTGTTAAGAGAAGGTACGCCGTTAGGAGGTTTCACTTTTCAGTTTTTCCAGAGACTCTTTTCTCTCTCCACTCCGGCTCCTTCGTTACTCCAAGTTGACTCGTCAACTAACTCGGCAAACGGTTGAAGAGGCGAGTCTCTGGGGTAGTGGACTCGGTCATGTGTGGACGAGTTGTCGAGATGGAGTCAACGATTTGGGTAATGGTGCGGTTAAAGTCATTAAAAACAGAACACGCGTGAATCTGTGAAAGTGACAACACATAGGGTCCTGTTTTATGCTGCCTTTGTCATTTGAGAAGATGCTGCGAAATCAGAAAAATTCAAACTTACCAAAATTATAACCTTTTGTCGTTATATTGGTTTTCTTTGACTGTTGACCTACACAATAAAATAACACGGCTCACATTAGCAGCAGCTGCGCAATGTGTAACTTGATATCACCTTGGACTGATTTATTCGAATTAAATTTCAATGAATCCAGGAAAAATCGGGTGAAGAAGACGGTGAGGGTGCCGGCGATAAGTTCAAAGGTTGCCGATATTCCGCCGGACGAGTACTCGTGGAGGAAGTACGGTCAGAAGCCGATCAAGGGGTCACCATACCCACGGTGAGTGACATGGGAAGTGAAATTTCAGCCGTTTATTTTGATTACAGGTGGCAAGCTGTCTGACGTTGATGTGGTTGCTTGTTTGTGTGATTGGTGAACAGAGGTTACTACAAGTGCAGCACAGTGAGAGGGTGTCCGGCGAGGAAACACGTGGAACGGGCGACGGATGATCCGGCGATGCTGATCGTGACGTACGAGGGGGAGCACCGACATGTGATTCAGGGTGCGATGCAGGAGAACGTGGCCGGGAATGTGGGTTTGGTGTTCGAGTCAACGTGAGGTGGTGGTGATGGAACAGAACAAGATTAGGGCAGATATGACTTCCTCTTTCTATTTTTCTATATTTTCTTCTCGGGTTTTTTGTGGGGTAGGTGATGAGAAAAGGAGTTGAAGGGGTTGGATTGTAAATTTGGTTTTGATCTAGAAAATTATGAATATGATGATAAGAGTTGAAAATTTGGAATCTCACGAATCATCATTAATATTGTGCTCTATACAGTATTACTATTTTATTAAGAAGAGTTAAATTAATCACAACTTGTGGGGTCTGAACTTGTTAATTGGGAAGAAGTGGGTATCCAATGCTAGTTTAGTGGGCTAAGATGATAGAGATAGCCACTCGTTAGGTTGAGGTTCTATTCTATTTTATTCAACTTTGTCCCACGAAGAAACAGTGGTCTTTTGTTTGGGTGATGTCAATGGCGTTCTAGATTAGTCTTTTTTTTTTAAAAAAAAAAATGGAAGTAGGTTCTCAGTGTTTCTTATAAACCAAGTTTGATGATGTTCGCTTTCAAATGTTTGACTTTGGGCGATGTCGAACTCCAGAAATATGGAAACCGGAAAATGAGGTCTAAGAATGAATTTTACTTCAAGAGGTATGTTAGTATCCCACATGCTTGGCTTATAGCTTGTGTTGGTTTTGGTGTATTAAGTATGCGGAGGTAGGGTTTGCGTGGAAATGGAAGGTGATGAACAAAATGAAGGGACATGTTGCGTATATGAAGCAGCAAAATAGTATTTTGTTCTGTGTTGTGTTGGGGTTGGGTTTTCTTAACTTTGAACCCAAGTTAAGTTTTGTCAGGGAATCAAAACCAGGATGCTGACTTGTCCACTTGCGTCTGCTTTCTTTCACTTCTCTTGGCATGCAAACCAAGTTTGCTTTGTCAACTACCCAGTTCAACCCCCACTGCAACTAAACAAGTGACAAAACATGCCAAACCTCGTTAGTTTTAATGTTTAACACTCTGCTGTGTTTTTTTCCCTAAAAATATAAAATTATGTGTTGGCTGAAAATATTAAATTATCTTATATCTAAGGCTGCCCATGTGAAAGATATGGAGCCAAATGTGGCCCTTCTAGATGGTTGTAGTGGGCCTTCATGTAGTTCAAATGGTCTCGACAGTTGAATTGGACCTTGCTAATAATTGTCTTTACTGCCGAGTAAAGACCCATTAAGCGTTGATTAATGTAAACCCGACCCGAATAAAACGTTCCGCCCGAATTACCTGTAAAAGTCAGCAAAGTTTGGCTTCCTCCTCCACCGCCAATTGCATTCGTTGCTTTTCCAACGACACGCCCTCTCAGTCCCTCCTTTCATTTATTTGTTATTAAGTGATCGCCTCGAATTTTTTCGCTTGGAAAAAAATAAAAAAATAAAATAATCGAACTGCGACTGTGCAACATTATTTATCTGTCGACGAGAAAAAAAAACATCATAGTCAATTATTGTTAATGAACTTGTTCCCAAAAAAAAAAAATTAATTGTTAATGAACAGAGTAAAAGGTCAAGGTCGGGTAGGAGCCGTATTCTGAAATCAAACTGGGCAAGCAATTATCGTTTGACAAATCTTCGCCTCACATGGGTGATGATTTCATAAATTTTGCGCGCGCTTCTCTAGCGCGTGTTCTCACATCTGCAATCTTGGGAATTACTAGGATTGCAGCCAGGCCGGACCCTAACATGTTTGCAAACGTAAAACTTGATATTTTTAATTAAGATGTTATTCTTTCTTATCGTTAATATAAAATAAATTTAATTAAATTCACACTTATTAAAAATGATTTTTATGCTTAAAAATTGTTAAAAAATATGCAATTTTTAAATTTTTCCCATTATTTGTTATTAATATAATAACCACAATTAATTACTCTTTATGATTTCAAATTATAATAAATAAATGAATGAATAGGTAGATCATGTTGGAAAAAATAAATAATAAACCTATAAGAGGTGGATTCACAAAAAAAAAAGGGATGGAATTAGAAAAGAAAATTAATTGCTATAATTTTTCTCATAATAACAATAAAAAGTTTATCTCATATTGAGGATTAGAGAGAGTGCAGTTCACACCTAGCTTATTTATCCTCTTTAGTTACACGGAGAGTCAATATTAAGAAATATAAATCACTAAGAAGCGCGTGTAAATCTAAAACAGCAAACATATATATATATATATATATATATATATATAGCACATTATAATAAGAAAAAGCTGGAATTTTCAAAACTCAAAAGCTAGTTGGTGTTTTTTTTTCATTTTTCATTTTAAAAAATTGGTTTGCAGTATAGTTTTTTAGTGCTGTTTTTCAAAATAAAATTCAAAAATACATTTGATTTATTAATTTAAAATTACTTTTATAATTTAAAATCGATGGAATATATTACATCCTCTTTTGAAAGCTCTTGAATTCCTTTACACAAGAAAAATACATTTTTAACCTTCTTTTATTTCAAGTAGTATAGTCTATTTGTTTTTCCTAAATTGCCACGTTTCTCAAATAGAATCCGTCGTGTAACTTTCAAAATTCATTACTCAAGGTTAAACATCCAAATCACCTAGTTTAGGATTTATTGGAAAGCTTTGTGTGTCTAGTTTGCTCAAAAAAATTATCATGTCCAATTAACATGATTTACTGTATATTATACAATGAAACAATAACATTACTTTGAAAAGAGTCTAAATTTGGATAGCACCAATCATACAATATTAAAATTATGATTTCAAGACTAGTTTAAGACTTTAAAACTGGTCGTATGCATCTTACCACACCAATTACACATGCCAAGGTCACATCATGAATCTACATATTCTCATGGAATTATTTATACATTTCTTATCTCTATAAATGTAATGCCATGGGAAAATTATCTCTTAGTCCACTTACCTTTGCTTCTAACTATAAATCTTCCTTTAAAATATATAACCTAACATAATAAATCATTGGGAGTGAGATTCAAAAGAATCTCAACAGTAAACAATTTCATTCAAACATTCATGGTAAAAGCGTGATACGTGACATATCCTTGCATTAAGTAACACCATAACTAATACAATGACATGTTTACATGCTCAAAGTTTCATACATCATCTGCGCATGGATCATGAAACACTTAAAAATAAAGCTCCAAGCATTCATTCATGATTCATATAATTAAGAAAACAAGTCATACACATCGTCATACAAGCATAAACACCAAATATGTAATGAAGGGTAAGTTTAATACTTATAATTTTTACTATTTCTTTTTTGTCTTCCTTGCTTCCATAAATTAATCCCATTACCAAACATCTAGTTCATTTTCCATGACACACATTTGGCCTAAATACATGGAATATAATATTTATTACAATTATTAAACTCAATAATCACATTATCAATGCATGACAACTCATTCTTTATTTAATTCTTGTTTTCTTTATCTTAATTTTTTACATGAACTTCCCATGGCAAAAAAATTCTCACACCACCATTTCCCAAGCAATTTTTCTTAAGGAAGTCATTTTTAAACACAAATTTTACAAATCCAACCTCCTTCCCTTTAAGCTAGCCTTGACAGCAATTATGGGTATTTGAAACCCTAGGTTGTGCTTGCTTTTAGGCTTTTTCATGCTTCATATTTTTACATAACACTAGGCTAGGCTTTAAATCTTATTTCATGAACTTAAACATGATTAATTTCATTGCTTTGTCTTGAAGAAAATTTGACAGCACCTATCCTTAATTCCAAGCTTTTCAATTTCTACAAAACTTGCTAAACTCTTATTCTATCATGCCTAAACATCTTTCACCATCACTTCAATGGTCTTAACATCATCAAAATCCTAAGGCTCAAAATAGGGCAGCAATTCAACTTGATGAAAACTTAATTAAATTTCAAGATATTTAACTCAAAATAAAGCTCTTGCTTACTTCTTTCCTTTATTATAACTTTTTCTTACATTCTCCAACTTCCACCCTTATTGGCCACGCCAAACTCCTCCTCTCATGAGCCTAAAATCATTGGATTATGTTTCTTGAGGAGTACAATGAATTTTGTAAAGATATTTTGAGGTAGAAAAGTGATTTTGATGGTGATTTTGTTTGGTTTTTCTTTTTTCCATCCAATTCACCATGGGAAGAAGCTCACGCTAACACACACTCTCTCTCTCTCTTTCTCTATTTTCCACGTGCTGATCAGAAGTGAGGAAGAAGAAATGGGTATAATGGTGTTTGAGGTTTGAGTGGACGATTAATCCATCTTTGATAAAATTTAGATTTAAAAAATATCTAATTTCCCACCTTAATTTTGACCAAGCCATTTTCCCTTTTATTTCGGTGGTGTAAAATTAAAACTTCTCCTTCATTTGCTGCCCAGTGTCCCGCCACTCTCACAATTTTAATGGCCTTTAATGGCCTCGTGGTAATTTTCAATCTTGGGTAGAAATTTTGGACATTTTCTTACCCTAGTAGAATATAATTTCTATATAATTAAGTCCCTGTGAAATTATTAACCAATAAAATTGGGATTACCCTTTCAAACATTTCTCCTTTTCATACACTAATTTCCTTTGAATTTTGATAAATTTTGGGTAATTTTATGTAATTACACTTTAAGGCCCAAAACTTCCATTAATTATATTTTAACCCTATTTAGGCTTGACATTCACAGGTTCAATTCATTCTTGTTCATTTTTAACTCCTGATACTTTTTCATAATCTCATTATATTTGTTAACATATAACCACCCTTAGACATTAATAATTATCATTTGATCTTGGATAGACAATTTCTCTTACTTATTTTTCTTTTCATTTGTTTTTTAGCCTAACTATAGTTAAGTTACCTAAGAAAAAGTTAATAACACTCTCTCTCTAATAGTTAGCTAAATTTAAAATGTATTTATATTTTAAACTCATCAAAGGCCATTGTCTTCTAGAAAATTTGTCATATGTTATGTGACTCAGCAATTTTTTACTAGGTTTATAGCAATTCGAGATCTAACAGTGATCTCATTGAATTATTTTTAAATCTATTACTATCCTTGTAATCTAACTGTGATCATTTTTTAAGCGATTTAGAACATAAAAATAAATTTATTAAATAATTTTACCTTTATTTAGGGGTGGTTTGTTTAAGATTAGCAAAAGCCATTTTTTAAATAGTTTGGAGATTTTATAAAAAATAATTTATTTTATAGATATTTTGAAAAAATCAAAAAATACTTTGTATTGGTTAACAGAATAAAAAAAAATCACTTTTTAACACATGCTCATGTAATGATTTCTTTAATCTTGAATTCATATTTTAGGTACATTAGAGTTAGAAATTACTCTGTTGGGATTACTAAACTCTCAAACTACGAAGAAAAAGAAAGAGTGCTATCCTAAAATAAAGAAATAGCACCATCATACTGAGTTGACAAGTTCACAATTCAAGCTTCGTCTCTTTCGCCAAAGCATTTTATCCAGCACTCGTTAACCACAAATCTTAATCAATAAAAGCTTTCTTCCCTCGAGTGATATTCTGCTCTCTCTTTATCAGGTGTCGTGTCTTGATTAGGTAACGTTGCTGCTGAAAAAATTTCTCCACACCCTTAAGCCACCAGGGACGCAAGCTGATATCAATAAAAGCTAATGGATTCAACAAAAACCCTTTAATCGACAAATGAAGGAAAGGGGGAGAGAGAGGGAGGAAATTGCACATGAAATTAATATGACAGTTTTGCAGTTTTCTAACTTTTGAAAAAAAAAATCAGAGAACATGCCCAAAGCAGAAAAACCAAAGTTAGTAGCAAATATAAGAAAAATCAAACCTGAGAAAAGAGTGGGTGACATGAGGCAGATTGAAGCACACTAAGAGAGAGGAGGAGGGAACGAAGGCGAAGGCGCCGTCGCAACTCACATGAGAAACATGGAGGCCCAATGGGATTTTGAAGGACTACTTCTGTCTTTAAAACTTTATCCGTAAAAATAGCCACGTTTCCTCACTTTTTATCTTTCGTTTAGCGCCTCAAAAAGCTAATCAAATTAGCTTCTCTGAATAATCAAATATCTGATTTGCCCCAGAGAGACTTTAAAATTACAAACTGATTCCCAAGAACCATTCTATTTTTTTAAGGCACCTTAGGAACTCTTGATTATTTGAGTTTGGTAGCTTATTGAATTTTGATATATTCTGGAACTTTTGGGTCCAAAATTCAGGATATCATAGATAGTGATGGATGGTAGTAATTAATAATGGTAGCTTGTAATAGTAATTGATTAAAAGGATTGTAGTTTTTAATAATAAGGTGTAATGTGTTTTGAAAATGGAAAAAGTAAATTGGAAATAATTTTGAGATCTTTTTATTGTTTTAAAAAACAAAAAAATAAGAACAGTTTAAAAAACAATTAAATTTAAAACAATTATTTAAACAAGTTTTTTTATTGTATATAAAAAATTGTTTTCAACAACGTAAACCAAATAGGTTGCTAGTAGTTAACGCCATTTGTTTCACTTGTAATGTAATGTGACTACATTATATATACATTATTCACCCATTCGTCTTTTTATTGCTAAATATATACGTCTTTAATTTGAGGGTTAAGAGGAAAAAATGTTTTAAAAGTTTTCTTAAAGGAGTATCAAGTACTCTCATCCTTTAGTTAGAGTAATTTTGTCTTAAAAGTGTTAAAAGTGGAGCAACCCTACTCTTTTCTAACATTTAACTAGTGTTTGATTAACTAAGTATTGAAAATTTTCACATCACAACGTGAGAGGATTGGAGAGTATACCTTTTAGGTCTTCACCAAAGGGCATACCGAAAGCGAGCAATGAGATAACCATAAGACCTAGAGTCATTATCTTGTACACTTTCTTCCTCCCTAACATGTGCTCTTCCCTTAATTGCATCCCCGATATTGGCTATGGACACCACAAACTCCATTGTCTCTCTCCTCATTTTCTAGCCCCCTTTCTCCACCTCCTGCATCACATGCCTCTAGGTTTCATATTCTTCTTCTTTTAAGATTTGATTGGCAATAAAAGTTGACATTGGAGATTTTGAGATCTGGTTGATGAACTTGAAGCAGATTAAATTGTTGACAAAGGCAGAGTGGGAGAAGTTGATAAAGGTGGCAAGGAAAAGCTATGGTTGCCATCAACAATGGTGAAAGGAGAAGCCAATAATAATAGTAAGGAGACGTTGTGGATGCTGTCGATGAAGGTGGAGCGAGAAGTCAACAATAATGGCATGAAGAAGTTGTGGTTGTAGTCAATGAAGGTAGAGGGAAAAGTCGATTATCATAGAAAGAGAAGGAAGAAGATGAGCGCCCTATATGCCCACTTAGCAAACACAAAACAATAAGCCAATCTTAATGAGCCACACATGTTCTGTTTGGTCAAATTTTAATTTTAACGATTAATGTTATTCAGATTTAATGGCGAGACGATATTGCTTCACTTTTAACACTTTCCAGGCAAATTTGCTCTAATTCAAAGGCAAGGACACCCAATACTTGTTTGTTCTTTTGAAAAGCTCTTGATGCATTTGTGCCTTGTTAACCCTTGGTTTAATTAAGTTTAGTAAATATATGCTTAATTATTCTCATATGGCTAAAGTTGAGAACCATAATAGCATGGTCAATAAATGAACTGTGTTGAAGTAAAAAGGAAAAAAAGACACAATTATTCGCCTCTATAATTTTAATGTGTTTTGGTATGTATGCTTGTGGTTTTTTTTTCCTATTGTAGGTCCCTTTAGTTTATCTGGTGTATAACATTAGTCTATCTGTTTTTAATATATCTAAAAGAATGATGATGTAGCACTAATGATTTCAAACATGCTAACTTGTGACTATCATTGTTAATAATTGTGCTAAGGTGGAATTATATTTTAACATAATGAAACTTGAAACAAAAAAGGTGGCCAAAGTCATTAATATGCCAAATTATAATTTCACTTAGCATAGATTAATGGCGTTACTCACAGATATGCTCTTTAGCATGAGATTTATAGTCTCACATGTCAACCATTTCACCATCAAAGCATCTTGAAAGTGAATTGTATTTTATGAATATAATATCTATCTGGTGTAATCTTCAAAATCTATGATAAAAGTGAAATGTTAAAGTATTTTTACTAATCATTCATACTATATGGGCTTGAGTTGTGCACTCCATTAGTTCGATTTGAATTATATTAAACAATTTAGTGTCATCCTATTGTTTCTTTATATATATTTAAAAGTTAAGTGACTAATGTTGTAGACACGACAAATTTAAGGAACCTAAAGCAACAACAAATTTATAGGAGCTTATATCAAAAAACATAAAATTATAGGAATTAGTAGTTACATTTTCCTTAAAAAAATTGATAAACTAAATATTAATTTTATAATTATAAGCGTTGTTTGAAATTGAAACATCTCACCGTAAAAAATATATATATATGGATTAAAAAGAAAAATGTCACCCCATGGCTTTTATAACGCGACAGCATATTTAATTGCTGTCACGGCTTAACGTGCGTGGAAGAAACCATTTCTCACTCCAAAGGGTCATGGAGACAATAGTTTAATTCCAAAGACATGGTCGAGAATAATGAAGTGGCCGGGTAATGTTACGGTTTTGTCTGGTGGGATCTATTTTTAAAAGACAGAAAACGGATAAAATCATGAGGTTTTTGGCTTCTGGATATTGTCCTCTCCGGTGCTAGCTGCTCATTTCACTTTGTATAGAAGACTTGGATAACGTATATCAGTATGAAAAGCCCATAGGTGAGCGCGTTTTTTTTTTTTTTTCTCTCTGAAAAAATAAAGTAAGATAAAAAGAATATGAAAGATTTTATGTGATGATGTCTAGAAATAAAATGCAAGATGAAAACATAAATATCCTGTCAGGAATACAGATCTTCACATTTTAAGAGGATGATTTTTTTTTTTTAAAGAAATGCAATACAAGGACTTTCATCTATTCTAGTATTACTCTTTCAAGTACAGTTAACTGTAGTGCTCTGATGGGATTCAGGACATTAGTGCCTGTATAATTTAATCCAATGCCTTTAAGCTTTACTTCGTCCCATTGAAAGCATGAAGTGTTAAAATCAATAATATAGAAGAAGCCTTGACGAAGGCAACATTTCATTTAGTGTCCAAAACAATCTAGCCCGTTTTCCCCACTTCTGGCAGGCAAAAGGTTGGGATGAATTTGTTCTCTCTAACTCGTTGACTCTTGTCTGCTTTAGCCCTTCATTACTTATGTGATGATAATAGCGGATCCAAGTGTATCTCGTTTCGTTCACTGTTCTACCATATCAGTTTGCGCTAGTAAGAGACTGACAGAGACTCCAATCACATTCTCAGTTTTCGTGGTATCTGTCCTCTGCCTCTGCGTCCCTCCACCGCAACGCCAACCCACCTCGCCATCCTTTTCCTCCGCCGGCGACACCAACCCCTCTCCCTCTCTCTGTATAGTTCATATATATTCTCTCTGGCCTTTTCTCTTCTTCTACCCGAAGTCTTCACCTTTATGCTTATCTGCAAAAACAATCCACCTGTATTCTGTTCACAGAAAACCCCTTTTGTTCCTCGCGAAACTCCTACAGTCTACTCACACCCTCAAATTTTAACTTTGTATCCTTCTGCTCTCCCCACTCAAAATGGATGTTTTGCCGGGCCCTACTTTCATCATCGATCACGATTCGCTGCCGTCGTATGGCAGCCAAAACCAAAAGGACGGTCATGTTCGCCGGGTTATGGAACGGCCACAGTTTTATGCGGGCGATGACTCATCGCAGAGTTCGTCCTCGATTGGAGCCCCGGATGACCGTGGAGATGAGGAAGATGGAGAGGAGGTACAGAGCAATTCGAAACGAGGAATCGCGTTAGATGCTTTGGATTCTCTAGAGGTGTCCCTTCCCATCAAGTTAGTTCCTTCATTTTCGTTTTTAAAACTTTCGTAGTTTTGGATTTATGTTTAACCTGACAAAAATCTGAATTCATATTTGGATTAGTAAGTATTGGGATTAATCGGAGCGATGCATGCAGGAATGGATTGTCGAGCCACTTCGAAGGAAAATCGAAGTCATTCTCAGATTTGAGCCAAGTGAGCTCTGTGAAGGAGTTGCAGAAACAAGAGAACCCATTCAACAAGAGAAGAAGGGTTCTAATGGCATCCAGGCGGTCTCTAAGATCGGCCTTCTACACCGGGTCGAACCCTAAATCCATGCCTCTTTTGCCCCTCCATGAAGATGAACAAGAAGACGATGAAGAAAAATGTAGAAAGCTTGCGTCGCCGTCGTCCCTATCCTCCTCGTCCTCGTCCTCATTCACCGAGGAAAAGAAACAAGAAGATCAAATGCTGCTGCGACGGCGACAGAAGACGGTGTCAGAATCGACTTGGCTTCGATCTGGGAGCTTGAAGTCAAGGAGTATTTCACTTGCAGATCTTAAAGAACATGACGACGACGACGACGACGAAGATGCTTGACATGTGAGATGTTTTGCTGTTAGTAGGAATCTTAAATGAGGGTACCTTTCAAGTGTTTTGTTTTTAGAGTGAGATGGAAATTGTGGAGATGATATTATATCAGCCTCATAAAATTGACAAGAGTATGACATTGATGCGTATTTCTTGATCTCGAATCCGGAGTTGGGTATTGGAATTAAAGTTCAAAAGAGAGAGAACAAAAGCAAGTTGAGGGAGTTTATTATTTCGAAGATAAAACCACGGATTTGAGTATTCGATTTCACAGAAGGTATCTTTGGACGAATCTTATCCTGTGTCCCTAAGTTAAGGTTTTTAAAATTGGATTGAACCGGTCAGTTCAACGATGAATTGATTGCTGATCCGATGCAGGCAATTCATGTGGACGGGTGGTCAACAAATCGGTGAAAAGTCAATAAACCGGTCAACTAACCAGAAAAACGTAAAAACCGAACAGTTAGCTAGTTGGTTGATTGGCTGGTTCAAACATTGGATATGAAGATAAGAAAAAAAAAGCAGGAGGAAAACAGAGGAGAAGCCAAAACAAACAGATGAGGAGCAAAAACGAAGAAGGTGCAAAGCAAATTTTTTGTGGAAAAAAAAATTTTGGGACAAACCATCATCCCAATTCCTAAGCGTGCTTCTACAGTTATTAAACTATCGGACCTATAATAAAATAGCTAGATCTAACGAAAATCTTCAACCGTGCTTTGAGAATCATGGCGGAACTGCGACTGAGTGGAAAAGAAAATAATGAAGGAAGAATAATGAAGAAGACGAGGCCGGCTCGAATTGCCTCTTGATCTTGGGAATAAAATAATAATAAGAAGTACCAAAGTTCTTCCGCGCACTTGAGCCTTGAATTTAATAATATTAAATTCAACATTAAAGAGTGAAAAAGGAGGCGGAAAAGCAATTGAGAAGGGAGGGAAAAATTACTTTATTTTCGGGTAAATGCAAAAGCAAAAGAAAGGAATTCATATTAATATCATTAAATGCCTTTTACATTGTGAAATAAATAGGATGAAGCATATTAAATATATACTTTTATTTTTCAAACAAATTAAAAAGTAAGTTCTATAAAATAATTTACAAATTTTATTTGACTTTAGATAAATACTTTTAATTTAAATGTCATTTTTATAATTAGATAGACTTTTTTTGTAAATTTAGATGTATATCATTTAAAAATTATTAACTCAATCATAATTGGTTTGACCAAGTTTCAATTATAGTTGGATCAGTGGCTTTTGAACCGATACCTTATCTAATTTAATGGTCTGTCTAATTTGTAAAACCTCATAAATAATTGATCATTGATGTCCGCATGAAGAATGACCTGGTCTTTTTTATGGGATGAGGCGTGGAAAATGACTCTGCACGTGACTTTTATTTATTTATAATTTATAATTTATAAATTTACGAGTTACGACTTACGAGAGCAGCTTGTGTCCTCTCCTGTCAACGCGCTGAACAAGAACAAGGAATCTGGAATAAATTAGGCTAACTTTCGGACGAGGCAAACTCTAACATAATATTTTATAAGTTTAGAAAAATACGAAGGAGTTGGTTTAACCAGTTTAGGAAGTTGAATAATTTATTTTAAGATCTTATGGGAACTTGAATTCAAATTTCATAATATACAACTGTGCTAGATAAATACGTTAAAATGATTCCTAATGTACTAGACAATGGAATAAAAAAAAGGCAGAAAGGCAAAATATTAAATGCATTATCATCTTGGAACATTCAATAATTTAATGTAAGAAAAAGAACATGAATACTCATGAAATTATTTTTTAAATGTACCCATGATCAAATTATTAAATTTTAAATTCACAATATAATGATCAATGTCGATGACTTTTAATAATTTAGTTATAGATGTACTTAAAAAATAATTTTATGGATTATTGTGTATTTTTCCTCACTTTTGTTATTGAATACTCCAGATTGAAGACATATTGATATTTTTATCCTTTTGCTCGTAAAAATAATACTCCACTTGTCCTAATTTATAAAATACATTTGAGTTAGAATCGCATATGCCAATATTTTATTGGTTAAATACATGTTTGATCTTATTTTGTCAACATAAAAATATAAATTTTAAAAAATATTTTTCATTTAATGTTTCATTTATGAAAGAATGTTAAAAAGAAATAATATAATAAGAATCATAATATAAAAAAGAATCATCAATAAAAGTTTATTTTTATTACAGCATTTTTTTTAAATGCCAAACTTCAAAAGGATATTATAAATTTGTACTGAGGAAGTATATTTTTAATTTTTTGTGGTTGAATGTTTTTAATCTCTTTATATGTTCACGTAAACTTAAAAAAATAATAATTAAATCCTTGTGAATTATATAAATAGTAATATGACATCTTGAAATGTCATGATTTTATTAAAGTCCTTACAAAATTTAGGATCAATAAAATTTAAATTAAAAAAATTATTTTACTCTTATTGATAAGTTGTGTTTTTTTGTTCAATTCTTTCAATTCTTAAAATAAGAATTGTTATTCTTTAAATGAAAATTATAAATGATGTTTGTTATTTTAAAAAATTATTTTTAATAATTAAAATTATATTTAATAAGTTGCAATTTATTGCTTAACTTTAACAATTCACAGAATAAAGTTATTATTTTTGAAGCAAAAGTTATGATTAGAGTTTGATTTTCAATAACAGAAATCATATTTAATAGGTTGTAATTTTTTATTCTACTTTTATGATTCATAAAATAAAAGTTGTTATTTTATAATTAAAAATTATGATTGAAACTTATTGTTTTTAATAAAGATAAAATGCTCATTTTAATTTAAAATTTATTGATATTGAAGTCTTTAAAGGCTATAGTATTTTAAAAAATTAAATTATCATTTATATAATTTAAATAGAGATTTTATTGTTAATTTTCTTAAATGTAATTACAAATTATGAATATGCAAATTTTTTTATTTTATAAAATTTTCATGGTCTAAGATTTGAAGATATGCAAAGACATAATGATGAAATGTCTTGCCTCGTGGTGGCAGTGGGATATGCATCATGTGTAGTAAAAACCGTACAGTGGATGAGAAGTAGAAAATCTTGATCATGAATTTTTATCTAATAATTAGTAAAAAATATATGTATAAAAAATTTCTTCATTTGTAAATACATAATCACGTTTTATCCAAAATAAAAGTTTAGAAAAAATTATAACATCTTTAATAAATCTATTAATGATTAATTTGGACAATATAAATTTTATTTAGGTGGTCCATTTTAATATTAATTTTTTTATTTTTTATAAATTGACCATCTAGATGTGTTCTAGACAGTTCAGATTTAATTTTGACTCATATTCAAATTTTTTAACTTGTAATTTTTTAAAAAATATTTTTTGGAAAGTTTTAGAAATAAAAAATTGTATTTATCAAAATAAAAAAATTATAAGGATAGTCAATTTATTTTTAATATTAGTTATAAACTATCCAAACTTCAAAATACATCTGAATAATTAATTTATAAAAAAATAAAACAATTAATATCAAACTTAATCATCCAAATAAAATCTGTAGTATTCAAATTAGTTATTAACAAACTTATTAAAAATATTATATTTTTGATAAATTTTTATTTTAAATAAAACATAATTGTGTGTTTACAAATAATTTATTTTTATAAATCTATTTTTCAGTAACTATTAGATAAAAATTTATAGTCGAGACTACGGTTTTTCACCGCACATGATCCATATACGGTGGTAGTGTGATGCTTGTCAAGCAAAGCAGGGATGAGGAACAGAGACGGTACAAATTTAACATTTTATGTTCAGATGCACTGCCCTTCACGGGACATGCAGCGAATAACAGGGGATTGGTTTCAAGATTTCCCCGCCTCTTGACGTGACGTATCGTTACCTCAACATACTGTAATTCTCTTTACCCGTTAATTTATTAAGGGATTGATTAAGCGTAATTTTATCATCCGAAACGTTACAAAGGTCTTAAATTTAATTATAAATTAATTTTATTTTTTAATTTTAAAAATTTTCTACTTCATCACCGTACCATTTTTTACATTAATTTATCATCAGTAAGCATCACATCATTTTTTAATATTTTTTATTATAAAATGTTTAAGTGGATGGGCAAAAATAATTCTCCAGATGTTAGTTGACAAGCAATAATGACTTTTAATTTAATAAAAATATTTTAAAAAATAATAATATTTATTAATGGTTAATAAACATTAAGTATTTTTAATTTTAAGATGTTGACAGAAAAAATTTAAGTTAAAAAATAAAATTGATTTATAATTAAAGTTAAAGCTACTTATAACCTCTCGTATACAATTTATGAATAAAAATTATCCTCATCCCTGTTCCATGTTGTGTTTGGGATCACTCCTAAGATGGGGTTTGGTTAGAACTAAGAGGCAATTTCCACATTCCTGGTTTTATCCGACATCGTCGAGGATTCCAGAGGATTCCAGGATGTTATAGCATATCATTTATATTTTTCTTTGTGTAACTATATTTTTAACTCCCGTGAAACACAAAAACATTAATCCATCCAACTTAAGAGATACGGTAGGAAAGGAAGAAATTTTTTTATTCTATTCATTTAAAAAGTAACGGTTAATTTGCAACTCTAGATACGTTAAAAATATAAACAATAGTATTTTATTTCAAAATTTGTACCCGTACCAGTAGACCCACCCTACGTTGACTAAATATATAATATGGTAATGCAATATCATACTCCCACAATTTAAAAATCTAAAATATTTTTTAAAAATTAAATATTATTTTTATTTTTTAAAATATTATTATTATTATTTTTAGAGTGCTTTATTAAATAAATTATTTTATATTTATTTTAAATTAAAATACTCTATTAAATATGAGTAAATATAATAAGATATTGTTAATGAGAAGACAAGTAAATACTTTTGTTAAGAGTGGTATTTGATTAAAAATGACTTATATTTTTTAACTGAAGGAGTATATTTTAAAAATGTAATCAACTTCATCTAGTAAGATAAAATTATTTGTTATTTTTGTAATATCATAAATTTTAAAATACAATTTAAATTAAACTTTTTTAAAATCTTAACCACGACAACTCTAATTTACCAAAAAAAAAAAATTGTTCC